TACGGTCACCAATCTTTTAATGTGGATTTGATGAATAAGTGAAATCGAAACTGATCAGCCAGAGCATTTCATAAGTGAAATAAATGCTTATTTTGGACTTAAAAAGAAACAGCATATTTATTTTTACAATTTCCATTCGTGTTTGCAGCATGTTTCTTATTTTTTACATAAAAATATAACAACCTTTTAAGAAATAAAGCTTACGCAACACTTATCAAAGAACACTTCAAGTAACAACGTTTTTTGGCTTGACTCGTTGTTGCCACAGGCGAATCTTAATACCTATTCAAAACATTACATCATGTTGCCACTGAGGAAGTCTTAATAATTGTATAGCAACATTAAATTATTTTCCACTACATGTCTTTTGCAATAATAGATGGTGCTACTGCCTGATGATTCAATTGTGGTTGCTGGGGTAACAAACTTTCAATTATGTGATTTATGTGTTCTATTCCTTTTTACTTTTTATTGCTACAGTGCTTTGAGTGATGTGTGCTGTGGATGGCATTTCTTCTATTTCAAAGTGCAATGTAAAATAAATAAGTGATAATACAGTCTGCTTACTTTTTCTTTTTGTGAGCTTATTCTTAATCAATCAGATTAGCTTTCTCTCCTTTGAATTGTGTTCTATTTTCAATGTTTTATTAGTTTAAAATACATACTTGCCAACCTATGACACTCAAAAATCAGGAGATTTTTTTAAGAAATCAGGAGATTTTTCACAATGTTAAAAAGACTTTTTAAATGATAAAAATATGGTTTTTTAATAATGAATTAACTTTAAATAGTAACTAATTCTTAAATGCAAGCAACACAAAAATACCTTACACATAAAAAAAACATTTTTATTACTTGCATTGTTTAAGGGAAAAAAAAAAAAAAAAAAAAGACACTTTAATCAGTTTTCATACAAATGTTATAAACAGTGGCAGATTTTGCTTTCTTTAAGAAAGTAACTTCCTAATTTTGTTCACTGCAATTGCCATGTTGGCCTGCTTTCGCTAATAAAAGTTCTAATGTATCATCACTAATATTAGATCTAAATTTAGTCTCGTTTACGCAACAACACTGAAAATCCTCTCACACTCTGCACACTACTATGGGAACTGTCAAGATGGCCAACACAATTCTAGACAGTTGACTATATTTTAAAATTCCATCAGCACCTTTCAGTTTTCCAATTAAACCCAGGGTGTCAATCCTAGATGATTCATAACTTCATTCAAGTTTCTAATTGTAAACTGCTGTTATGCAGCTGTTGGAACTGTTTCAATTTTTCCTTCCTTTTAGAACTCCTTTCAAGATAATAATAAATATCAACAATGTGTTCATCCACATTTATGGTAAAGAAGCTTCCCCCTTTTCAGCTGCTAAATTTAAGAGGTGACAGGTGCACCTCATAATCTGCAAATCTGAATTTTTCCTTCTTAAGATGCCTGCAACACCAGTCTTCAAGCTTACCAATACTGGTGCATTATCGGCACCAAGTGCTAAGCAATTATACAGAGGGCCTGCATTTTCTTTTAAAGTTTAATAATTAGCTGTGGTATATTAAAGCCTGTCAAATGTCCTTCTGAAGTGGGGACAGAAAGTAAACTGCCCTCAATTTCTGAAGACTCTGGATAAAAAAAGAAACAACAATTGGATACAATTTGAATCGGTATTATTATTGCTTCCATCCGTAGAGAGGCAGAACGGAGCTGTTTTAGTGCAATCATAACTGAAGATTTATTTTTCAAACCCATTTCTTTAACAATTGCACCTGTTTTGGTTCTGGCACTTGAGTATTTCTTAGCAATTTCACTATCGGGAAACATTTTCTAAAAAAGCTGCAGTGATCCGATGCATTCAGAGTCACGTTGTGCTCCAGTAAAAAGGCAGAGAACAGACATTCTGCATTAATAACTTTTTGGTCCTTTGTTTCCGAAGAAAATTTTATTTTTTCAAAATGACTCATGTTATCCTTGTGTTTTTGTGTTCGCACATGTTTGAGAACATCCGCCCGTCCACATTGCGAAATCGAAAAATCGCAACGACAGGCGGTGCACATCGCAAATTTATTACACTTCCTTGAGGAAATAATGGAAGGAAAGTCAACTGTGTACGATTTTTGAAACGTACATGAGTATTTCATTCTCGCAGACATAACAAAAGATGATAATTTCTAAAACTATTTCCCGAAGGCACGTGCACTCACACAACTCAGGACAAATTGAACGAAATAACTAAAGAAGAACATCCAAAAACAGCTTGCCTTGTCCTCATTGGCTAATAATGCCAGCTGACGCAGTGGAGTTCGATGCCCATAGGAGAACTGGAGAACGACGTTTCTGGGATACGTATAATGCTCTCACTCACAAAGCAGAAGTTATCTGATTCGTAAGGTTTGTTTTAGATATAATCTAGAGAAAATTCAATTGCTTTCAGACGTCCAAAATCACTTTTGTTCATATAACAAAGTATTAAGCCAAGTTCCATAAAAATCGTGAGAAATTTTAAGAATAAGAAAAAGTCGGGAGAAATATATTGTAAATCAGGTTGGCGGGAGATCGGTCGAAAATCGGGAGTCTCCCGCCTAAATCGGGAGAGTTGGCAACTCTGAAAATATAAGTACTGTGAGATACTGTGATATTGTACAAATATGTCTGACTAAATTTCAGCATTTTTGTTTCTTGAGATAAGAATATGTTTTATTAACTTTTTATTGACCTTGTGCATTAAATCCATTACGAAACCGTGAGCATGCAACACTTTTTGGTGTCAGAAGTGGAGATCTACATGTATTAACCCGAAGGCTATAATGACGGAAGTAAGCGTGTATGCAAGATGCTTCGACCTTTATATGGCTTGAAACAAGCTGGACGATGTTGGAATGCCAAGTTTACTGAGTGCTGAAGAACGTGGCATGATACAAAGACAACTGCCGTTCATACGACATGCCTGTTCATAAATGATTATGGACATAAGATGCTGATGGCGATTTATATTGATGATGGCATTGTCGCTGTCCAGGACAAAGCAGCATTCTTCACATTTGTGGACGAGCTCAAGCAACATTTTTACATTCAAGTAATGACGTTAGATTGTTTCCTTGGTTTACAAGTTGAACGTTTGAAAGACGGCTCTTCCTCCACCAAGAAGCATTTACAAGAAAGATATTAGAGCGATTTGGAGATGCTAAGACATCACACATCCCAGTAAAGAAGTCGAGTCTCAAGGTCGACTATGGTCAACCAAATGATGATGGCATGATCAAGATCAAGGAGGTGAACCCTCTCTCTCAGCAACGAAATTCCATACTGATCAGTAGTTGACAGTTTGCTGTACTTGGCGATGGAGACTCGACCAGAGATTGCTTAAGCAGTGAGTTGGATGTCTCAAAAGCTGAACAATCATACAGAGAGTGAATGGGAAATCATATAGACAACATTAGGATACCCTCGCAATACCACTGGACATGGCATTGTTCAATGGTAATGAAGATGATAGAAGTCTGATGTTGTTTAGTGAAGCAGATAACAACAGCTGTGCAGAAACACACAGGTCTCGAACAGGTGTTTATTTTTTTCTATGGTGGAGGTGCAATTATGTAGCGAAGCAAGCTACAAGAGGCCGGAGGCCATATCCAATTTAACGACAGAGGCAGAGTTTATGGCAGCAGCCGATACCATGAATAACCTGATATGTTTGAAGGGCTTGTTCAATGAGATAGCTAATAATGTCTCATTGCCTATCCTACAAATTGATAATCAGAGTACTATCAAGTACATCAAAAATCCAATGTTCCATGCACGCTCAAAGCACATTGACCAAAAGTACAAGTTTGTGCGACACTTTCAATTAGGCTATGTCAGAAGTAATGAACAATGAGCAAATATTCTAATGTAGGCACTTCCAGCACCTCAGTTTCATTTTCAGAAGTTGATTGGTGTAAAAACAGTCAATAAGTAAAGGGTAATCTATATGAACAATGACTATTTTCATGCTCAAAGGAGGCTGTTGAAAATCAACTATTTAATAGATCTTAGTGACATCATTGTTTTGTTGTATTATTATGTTTTATGCATCTGGCATCACTTTTTTTTTTTTTCTGCCATTCTAGAGTCTTTATGTAAACAATTAGACGTATGTAAAGTTTCTTTACCTTTTTGCTTATTAAAGTCTGAAACTCATTTAGCCATTACTCTGTTTCGTTAATTTTGTAGCAATAACATCATCACTGAACAGACAATTCCAGCATTCAAGAGTAGTTTGGGCCATTTTCACAATACTTACAGCTCCTGGAAGTTTTTGAAGTAAACTGTGTTTTTTTTAACTTAACTCTATTTGAAGGCAGATTCTTATTCAATTTTGTTTCTTTAATCTCTACTAACAAAATTATTCTTTTCTTCAATGATATTATCCTCTACCTCTTCATCATCTTCCTCCCGTCAATTTCATCTTAGTCTTCTGTACCGAATTTGTCTTCAACATTCTCTTCTAAATTTTCTTCATCATTATGACACAGTATTCTTGGAATTTCTTCATCATCTTTGCAGTTTCACAGATCAAAATATTTTTTATTTCCCCCATGAACAAGCATAAATCTCTAAAAATTAAAAGATTTTCATGTCTATCAAATATATGATGTATCAATTAATTAAAAAAAAAGATGAAACTAATTTTTTTTAAAAAATAAATAATTGATCAAGGCAAGTGGAGAAACGTTTGAAATGTCATGTGGATGATCGCAGCATATCAATATGAGCAAACAGTCAATTTCTTTACTTTTCAAGAACCATCGGAATACTTGCAAAACACATATGTGAAGATACTAAGATACTGAACAGTGTATGATACTGATATCTGTCAGTAACAAATAAGATAGAAAATTGTTCAATGTGTATCAATCTGATCAACAGTGCCTGATGGAAGGTTAAATATTTAAAAAGCAAATTGTAATAAGAAAGAAAAATGTTACATCAAATTTTATTATTAATAAAGTGAAAATTACTTACAGCGGTTATAAAGCCTAGACTCAGAATCCCATATATTCTCAGCTTCTGCTTTCAATGACAAAATTAAATCAGGAGGTTGCACTTCTCTTTCAAACTTAACATCAGGCAACTAGAAGACAATCAAATAAAAAAATAAAAATTTGAATAGTTTTAATTTTCTAGCTTAAGTTTACTAGCTTTAATCCAGAAATCAACATTCATGCTTTTTCATTCCAGTAAGTAATACCACAGCTATCGATAAATTCATAGGGCAAACCAGATATTAGAATGAGTAATTTTTTAATACATATGAACATAGAGCAACTTCTTTCAGAGTTTTTTGCAACTCCAGAAATGAGATCCTAGGCTCTCCTCTTCAGGATTAATATCAAAATGCATCCTCAACTATTATTCATGTTAAAATAAGCTTCAAATTTTTGCAGATTTCTAGTAATGATCTCCTCTATTTTTTCTTGTTGCTTATGGTAGCATATACCATGAAAAGCTGTTTGAAGCTATACTGGAATTTGGATTTCCTAGAAAATTGATAGATCTACCTAGAATAACAGGGTTCGTACACATTTCTGCACATGGAAATTAAGTACTTTTAAGGACTTCTAAGGACCATTAATGAAAAAAATTAAGGACCTATGAGCAAATGGGAATTGAATAAATTCAATTAAACATATTATTCTAAGCCTGAATTTCACTTTTGTAATACCATCCTAAAAATAAAATAGATCCCTAAGTAGTATGTATTACTACTAAACATGAATTAATTAACATAATTATTAATAAGTTTGAGAATAAAATAAACTTCATGCAGTTTATCAAGTAGCATTAAATATTTTACACTTCTAATAGACTGGACATATTTGAAAGAAGAATAGTGGCATTTACGTTTTACTAATAGTTAGCTTTATGTTGATTTTTTTATGTCTCTTTTTGTCACTACTTAATCAATCTAAAGCAGAGGTTCTCAACGGTGGTACGCAAGAAAAAAATATGGTACACAAAGAAGCAAAGTATTTTTAACTATTATTTCAAAATTATAACCCAACACCTGATTCAGTTTTTTCTCTAACACTCGTAAATTATGCTATCTGAGCTTTGTTCAAGATTGGTGGTGGTAGTAGTACTTGTAGGTTCGTACTAAAGGTTTTCAATTTTGTTAGATGGTACACGTTAGTCAAAAGTTGAGAATGCTGATCTAGAGGTTTAGTAAATAGCAGGTAGATTTTGTGTCAAACGGCATAGGTTAAAATGAGACGTAAGATCATAACTAGCATGATTCATAACAAAAGACTGAATGTTATCACCGCTGCTGCTTGTCTAAAGAGAGACCTGTTGATTAGAACAAACTTGAAAGGTCTGATGTAGGCACGGTTAGCAAATGTTGAAAGTTAGTCAGGCTCTGTTTGATGCAGTTAGTGTCATAGCTTTGTGCAGAATTCCAGGGGTTGTAACCGAGTTAATATACTTTCAGGTTCCAATAAGCCATTCAAGCACCAAAGGTAATAAGTTGTTTTGTATTATTTTAAGTCTCACTAGAAGCAAAGAATAAGTTTTACTTGAATTTCTACATTTTTGTGTTTTATCTTGTGAACACAGCAAGTATTAATGAAAGGCAATAGCTCGGTTTAATATGTAGAGTTAAGTTTTAAGGGTAAGCAGTTAGTAATAAGTAATTAAATTAGATAAATAGGTAACCTTAGTCATTATGGATTTACATGGCCACTATTAAATTTTATTTTTTAACAATATTTGTTAAAAAAGGCCCTATTAAAATCTAACTAAATTTCACAGTTTAAAATACATGTAATTTATGACACTGATTCTTAAACGATATTAGAGTAATTACACATTAAAAGCTACAAAACATTTTTGATATTTATGCGTCATTTTAATTTGAAGCCTTCTAAAAATTTTTGCCTAGTTTATATCGATTTCCTTCTCTTTAAGCATCTTTTCTAACAATAATTAGAGATTTGCCTCAATATGCAAACCAATGCTCTCACTAGTTTCTGTGTGCTTTATCTCCTAACTTGTCAACCACTCCACAATATACCTATGATGTTTTACTTGACCTGGTAATAGTTAAATAGTCCAAAACCCCTGATATATGAAGCAAATTATCACTATGTCTGAAAGTAACTACAATATCAGACAAAGGTTTAAACAAGCCTCTTATTGAAAAAGAACTTAGAACAAACATTAAGGCATGTTCTGATGCTAACAAAGTCAATCACGGTGACATAATTAAACAAGAACAGTCAAATTCAAACTAAAAATGTGGACTAGTGGTCAAAGATTATACAATTTAATTTAATCTGGCTCAGTAACCCTATCATATGAGAAAACAGAAATGGAAAATTATAGTAAAGGCTGAAATTATAAACAATTGGGTAATTTACATAATAATAACTTTACATATCTTTGAAGAACTATTTTCTTTTTGTATTCAGTTTCTTTCTTCAGCATGTTTCCTTTTCATTTTAGAATTTTTGGATTTAATTAAAGATTTCTGTTTTTCTAAAAAAACACTGAATGCATTTAGAATGTATAGAAAAAGTGACTAATTTAATTTCTTTAGTAATATGAAATTCAGAAGAAATATGAAATATACATGGTAAAGGTCCGTTACAGAGCTGGTGTGGCACAATTTTTAGAATTTCGTGACACATCAACCAACAAAATCTAGAAATGGCAAAACTTTTAGAATTTAGAGCAGGCGTTGGAAGCAGAATTTAGAAAGGTACTATGCAGTCGAATTTAGGATCCACAGAGATTGGATCAGATGAGATAATGCCTAGTGCCAGTGCTCTGTGTATGCCTAGTGTTGTGTGTATGATGCAATAAGACATATTAGATGGATCTTTTAAATTGTAAGCTTTCAATTTCTTTATTATTAAAAAATCCCTAAATCCCTTTCTATAATGCCTGCACAAGTGATACGATTAGAAGCATTTTTGATATTTCCCATGCTTGAGTCTAGTGAAAAGTAGAGAAAATAAAGGGGGAAGATAAACATGTTAAGAAAAAGATTCTAGTATCAGGAATAAAAAGACTCAAATATTATTCATGTCTTCATTGTTCTTCCACACGTTCTCCAAACAGTAAGAAATTTATCGCAAACATTCTGTAAAATACATCCATTACGCGTTGATACCGTGGAGATTTTTTTTCATTTTGTCATATACTTCTCAAATCTTCTAGAATAGTGAGTCTATAAATCTTGCCTTCAAATCCTTCTAAATTTTCCAAGCTGCAGTGTCAAAAATACTAAAGAAAAATTATCCCTACCAATTCTGTAATAGCAAAAAAAAAAAGAAAAAAAAAAAAAAAAAACAAAAAAAAAAAAAAAAAAAAAAAAAAAAAAAAAAAAAAAAAAAGGAAAAGTGTAAAATTAATTTTATAGAGAAAACTGATGCATCTTCTGAGAATTTTGAATATTCTGAGACAATTACATGGGAAAAACACTTACTATGAAAAACATAGCTAATTTTGCTTTTGCTAAGAGCTGTTTCTCAAATTATGCTTTACAGCATTATACCTTGATTATTTTTCAGATTCAAAATATTGTATAAGTTGCCAAAATGAAACTTTATAATATGACAGCAAAAATAAAAATGTTTGATTTTAATGTTATTTTTTAAATATAATTCCAATATATTACCATTATTTTAACGAAATTTATGAATGTTATGATGTTTTAAAAATAATCGCCAAAAAATTCTCAGATTTCGGAATTAAAATTTTTCTATAGAAACTGATCTTAAAATCGTTAAAATGTTGACAAGTCACCAAATTTATAACCGTTTAATAAAAGAATTCACATCCCCAAAAGCGAAAATTGTTTAAAAGCTCTTTATTACAAAAAACGAATTTCGAAATGCTTATGTTTCACTTCTTGCTTTGAAACTCGAGTATCCCATGAAACTCGAGTAAATATTAGAAATAGAAACAAATTATAGCCCATGAACCCATTCAAAAGATAACATATACGTCAGTGAATCGAAAAAATTTTCCTCCAAAATGCTAATTCACACTCAAAATGGCAGTTGAAAAAACAGACAGAAATTTCAGATGATTAAAATTAAGGACATTCTACTGATTTTGGCCAAAATTAAGGACTTTCAAGGACCAAAAATTGATTCCAAAAAATTTAAGGACTTTTAAGGACTGTACGAACCCTGAATAACTTTAAAGAGAGCAAATTGCAGAGTTAAAATCATGTCTGATCCATCAGGCATTCCAGACACTGAAAAGGGGTTGAGACAGGTTGATGCCCTTGCATGCATGTTTTTCAATATCACCCTTGAAAAGGTTATTAGAGATGCCATAATTATAACCAGAGGCACCATATTGCAGAGATCTATACAGTTACTAGCATACACTGATGACATTGACATTATTGGTAGAAGTAAACAGGTGGTTGTGGAGCTAGAGTCAGCAGCCATTAATGAGTGTAAAACAAAAATTATGGCAGTAACTAGCATATAATCCCCTCCCAAATAAATATAAATCCCAAATAAAGTCTTATACTTTCGAGGGCGTTTCTCAGTTTACGTATCTCGGTACTATCATCTCTAATGATAATAATATTAAACTTGAAGTTAAGAATAGATTAATTAGAGCTAATAGATGGCATCATGGTTTAAAGAATTTTTTAGCGTCTAAATTATTAAACCACAAAACAAAAATAAATCTTTATAAAACTTGTATAGACCTATTTTATTATATGGTAGTGAATGTTGACCATTAACAAAAACAGATGAAGAAAGATTTCTAATTTTTGAGGAAATATGCTGTGAAAAATATACAGCCTAATTACAGAAAATAACAGATGGAGAATTTTATTTAACCATGAAATATATAGAAGATACAAACAACCTAATATTGTCCAAGTCATCAAATTTTATTTCATATCAGGTGACTTGGACATATTTTTGGATGTGACAGCTTGAACTTGGTTAAAAAAGTGATCTCTGCAAATGTAGAGGATACCAGGAAAAGACAAAGACCTCACACGAGATGGATAGACTGTGTGGAGGCAGACCTATCAATCAACACACTAAAAATCAATCGATGGCCGACGGTATCGACTAATCAGATCCGTCGGAGACAAGCTTGTAGAGACGACCTTGGTTTGATCCGAAGAAAGCTTATTGAGACGGTTTTGGCCTGTAATAGGCTGTAGTGTAACTGAAGAAGTAGAACAATTTTTTTAAGACCATAAAGGAATGGTCAATATATGCTCATTATACTAAGCTGCTCAAATTATTGGTTCAATAGAGAAAACACGGACATGCAAATGAACTGAACAAATAGCTGTGAAATTGCTTTCTAGATATAAAGTAACCTGGGGACAAAGTAAAATTAACAGCAAAGATGTGGTTTCTAGATAAGAAAATAAAGAATCCAAAGATAATTTTTAAAAAAATCTGAGAGTTCAGATTTAAATGATCACCAAAAGGCAATAATTTAACTGATAAAATATGGTTTATCAGTAGGGATTATGGATAGGGATGGTCCAGGCAATACAGCAAAACATTTTATAGGATATTCAATAAATGTTCATTTAGACCAGGGGTCTCCAAACTACGGCCCGAGGGCCACATCCGGCCCGCGGACAGATTTTGTCCGGCCCGCGGAGAGCTAGCTTTGAAAACTCTTTTAAGAGAACATATTTTTTTAGCAATTTAAATTTAGTTTAATAATTTTTGTTGAATAATTATTCTGGCTAACTACTCATAACATTGTTGTAGGCTTATTGTTATTTTTTTTGTGATAAGTTGGATAAAGAAACACAATTGTAATGAGTAAGACATGTATAATATGCAGAAAATTTACTTCAGTACATAATAACTAACAAATTATTGAAATGAATCCACTAACATTTTTATACATTTTAAATAAAAACATAACTTATAACAAGCATAATGACATATGAATTACATGAGATTTTGTAATTGAGATTTTCCACTGACAATAGTTGAGCTGGACTAATTTTACTTGTACAATTATTAAATAGATTTAAGATGCTCATCAGTTAATTTAGATCTGTAACATTTTTTGTGTACTTCATTTTGGAGAAGGTCTTCTCACACAATAGTATACCAAAAACAGAAAACAGCCCCGAGCAAATTTATGCAAATTATCAAATTGTGTCAGTGGAAGACTCTTATAAATTCCACAAAGATGAGTTTTGATATTTTCTTAATTATATCAATGCACTTAGATCAATCATTTCCATTTGAAGTTCCGGGCTAGGGTTTCAATGTCAGTATCAAAAGGATTTGAAAATCTAATTTGATTCGCAATGGCTCAAGTCCGAGAACGAGTATCAAAATTACTTCAAGCACTCAAGTTTCGATTGCAAAATCGATAGGAAACTCAGTCTCAGTGGTGTGGCTGAATATTTCACATGTTTTAAAATGTGAAAAACATTTACTTCGTAGTTGTGATTGAAACAGTATCAGTTTCTTCCGGAATGATTTGATATTAGTGTATAAATCAGGAAGATGCTGGTTTTCTCCTTGCACTCAAATTTAGTTCGTTCACATGTTTTGTCAAATCAACAGAATGCTAACTTCCACAGCCAGCGTTGTTTTGTAATTCAGTAGAGGGCGGCTTTTCATTCAAAAATTTCGACCACTCGAAGTTCAAAAAAGCACTGAAGGACTTTCCCACAACTAAGCCAATGACATATGAAAGGTAAGTCTTTTCTCCAATCTCTCAATAAATGGTCGGAATGTCGGTGATTCAACCCAAAAGATCTAATAAAATTAACATTTGATATGACTGGTTTCAGAACTTCAGACATATCCAAACATTTCCGCACAAGGACTGTTGATGAATGATACAATTAAACTAATGGTTTTGAACCACCGTCATCTTCTACAGCCTTTGACACAAGAGCGACCACTCCTTTATCTTTCCCACTCATTTTTTGCCTCCATCATTGTAATACATTTCAAGTTTTTTCCATCGAAAGGTTCTTTTGATTAATGCCATTCAACTCCTTTAAAATATCTGTACCAGTATTTGTGCCATGAATACTATACATATCAAGAAGTTCTTCATGCACTTCATAGTTTTACTCCTCGAATATAATCAACACCTGAGCAGTATCTGACCATCCGTTGACTCTTCCAAGCCAAAGAAAACCACTCACATGTCCATTTTTTGTCGAACATTTGAGGATATATTTCAGCAATGTTTTCTACCCTTCGAGCCACAGTGTTTGCTGACTATGACAGTTTTAATAAATTTACCTTTTCAGGCATATTTCTTCGGCTACTGCAATTATGCATTCTGATCTTTTCCATCGTGAATGGTTTTCCACGTTTTTGCAATTCAAGAGCCACTAAAGCTGGCACAAGTTGAGCCTCTTGTTCAGTTTTGAGTTTTGTAAATGAAGATTGCTGCGATTTCAATCCGCGTTTCATAGTTCGAATTTTCTGTCCCAAACTCCCTGTATATTTGAGTAATTTCGAAATGTTTTGTTTCAATAATGACGTTTAATTTATATCTTTGAGAACGCTATGCTTTCATTGCAAATCAAACATAGCGCCTTGTACTGGACTCAATTACGAATACTGAATGTTCCACTGATCTTTGAATTCTGCTTCACTATCAATTTCGCTTCTTTTCATACTACTAAATCACACACAAAGCAACAATTCAAATCCAAATACTGTTACAAAGATGTCTTAAACTTAACACGCACAAACACGTTTAAGGAGGTATCACTATTTTTCCACAACAGTGTCTAGGAAGGACTTCGTACTGCTTAGCGCCATCTGTTAGTGATGGAAGGTCCACCTATTTCCGCTTGTGTCCACCAGATGTCGTGTCACGTTACTCCCATGGCTCTACTCTACGACTAATCTAGAAATTACAGATAATGACAGGAAATTAATAATATGCAGTGTGCGTTTGCGGACTTTTAGTCCGATTTGCAGCCTTTTTAAACGTTGCGACTTTTTCGGACTTTTTTATTCATCAGTGGACTATCACTTTTACCAACGGCAACAATGATAATATGGTTTGGCCCTCGGAACTTACTGGAGTAATCAGTATGGCCCTAAGGCTGGAAAGTTTGGAGACCCCTGATTTAGACTAACACAAGAATGTTATATACAGGTTATAGTATATTTAATGGTGCCCCTTGGATTATTGCTAAGTTGTTTCATTTATGGTAACCTGAATAATTAAATGTTGCAGAAAACCTATTATGATGTAAGTGGCTGCCTGATTGTGGTGAATTTCAATGATTGGGAAAAGATGTGTAAGGGTTTGTTTGTATGTAGGACGTTGGCTAGGTTTTGTGGTTTACACAGTAAAATGGCTCAATGTGGTAAGATTAATATGAAGTTTCTGTATGATTTGGAATGAAAGGGAAATAAAGCATTAATTGACTGGTGTGTAAATGAAGGTTTACTTAGTAGCCATTATATAGTGTCCTTTTTGTAGGAGGAATCTATGGTCTGAGTAACGTTGCTACGTGAGGATATTTTGTGAATTTATGTGGCGACGGTACTATACAGATTCTAGTTCCGATATTTTAGGAAGTTTCTCATGTGTTAAGAATTTATTTGACTGAAGACATGGAATTTTTAATAAGTAAGTGGGGTAAAAAGTATGTTTAAGGTACCCCTTGGCGTTTTGGGCGGTACAGGATACCGAGTGTGCAATTCTTTGACTCGTTATTTAGGCTTGCGAAGCGATTTTTGCCCCAAAAAGCGCCGCTACACAAAGCCAAAATAACAAGACAAACAATTGCACAAACTTGGTATCCATGTACACATCGACTTTTTCACTTAAAAAAAAATCCTCAAATGCACAAAATGGCATTGCGCACTCCTTGACTTTATTCATGTCACATCGACCTATTTCACTTAAA